ATCTTTTTCAATTTAATCTTGATTTGATGCATCTAAGTTCTAGCTTTTGTATACAACGATGTTAACATTTTTATCCAAGTAGATTTATGCATCCTCAAAACTCTAATTGTTCTATTTTTATTATGCAGGGATGGCTATTTTCATATGATCCATTCTGGAGACCTCCTCAAATGAAGGTTTTTATTTATACTTGTTTACCTTCCAAGTTCCAACTTTATTGCTTGTTTTGACTTTTGCCAGCAAGTCTTACTATAAGCAAATCTTGTTCGAGATCTGGCTATGTAAACCATTTCTCGTGGTTTTGCTTACAAAGATTTCTATTTTATATTTATTTTTATTGCTTTTACCATTAACATTTGATTGTTTCTAGGAATATCTATCATGCATAGACTGTATGTTGCAATCTTTACAATAGTTTTCTTTTTCTATTTTCCTTTTTTGAGTGCCTTTGTAAGATAAATGGGTAGAATAATGTATATACACATTTGAAGAAATGGATTTCCTATTCAATATAAATACTTTCTAGAATAAGGAGTTCATCCTGGTTATTTATTCTAACTTAATTACCTTTCATATGTGATTTTTGTGTGTGCTTGCTTTCAGGCCCTTTTGCATTCTGTTCCTGTGGGAAATCTGGTGGTTCTTGACCTGTTTGCTGAAGTTAAACCCATATGGACTACCTCAGAGCAGTTTTATGGTGTTCCTTACATCTGGAAAGTAATTTTCAATCATATGTTTTTAAATAAAAATAGGGTAATTTATGTTCCCTTTCATGACAGAAGTTTGGAGTACACTTTCCTCTTCTCTTATGTTTAAATCTACACCTTCATTCCTTGGCAAGTAAGCATATATTACACTTCATTTCATTTTAATGTAAACAAACCTTTTAATGAGAAGATAAAGTGAAGCTTTAAATATCTTCTTTATTGGTTTTTGAACTTTATTTACTTGTCAAGGATTAAAATGGTAAATTTTAACACGAGCAAAGAGGCGTGGTTCAAGCTTTTTAAAGAGAAGAGGAGAGTGTAATTTTCTCCAAAACATAATGGTCATGAATTTGTTTCCTCTAAAACAAGATATATAATTATATATCCACTTAAATGTGAAGATTTATATAGTGAATATTTGCACAATTTATGACTTTGAAAAGATATTTGCACAACATATTTATCCTCTTTGAAAAGTTATAACTTCTCAGTTTTCTCTCTATAGGTGAATATTTGAACAATTTTATGTTACTTGGCTATCTTTACACTTGCCGCCACTATACTGACATGCATACTTGGTATAAATATGTGAATATATTTTGCAGTGCCTCCTATAGTTTAACATATCAGCATGGCAACATTCACCAGCTTAAACCAGTATTATAGAGATAGCTTCTGTGTATAACTATAGCATAGCAATGTTGTTATATGGAAATATAGTAACTAGCACACGTGAACTTTCCTACAAACTGTCTGATATTTTGGTTGTGCTCTAGCTTAATCATGTCCATATCTGTATATTAAGATTTAGAACTTTGAAGTTCGTTATATGTATAGGTTTTCCAAGCCTCTGTAGTATGCATCATTATTCCTTTTTTATTGTATTTTTTAATGTCTTCAAATTGACTGGGTGTGTTGTGCTTGACAGGTGTATGCTGCACAATTTTGCAGGAAATGTTGAGATGTATGGGATATTAGATGCTGTAGCATCTGGTCCAATTGAAGCACGAACAAGTGTTAACTCAACAATGGCAAGTGATTCATTTTTGTTGGTTATTCAATTCTGTATTTAGTGTCACTGTTGAATTACAGTTATAATGAAAACCATGATGAGATCCATCTGCTCTACTAATATTATGATTGCCAGGTGTATTAAAAACTAAACCAAACATACTAAAGCTACTATAAATGCTAAAAACATAATACTATTATTTACACAAGTAATTTTGGTAAAAACTTTTCTTTAACTTTTTTTTTGTGATGAATTCTTTTTCTGACACTCTATACCTTGTTAAAATCATAGAAGCCTACTTCTTATACCTGCTTGATTTTATGAAGGTTGGAGTTGGAATGTCGATGGAAGGTATCGAACAAAATCCCATTGTTTATGATCTGATGTCTGAAATGGCATTTCAGCACAACAAAATTAATGTTAAGGTAACAATAATCTTAGTACCAATTGGTTGCACTATTTCACTCAAGGTTTTACCATGTTCTCATGCTAGTGAGATGTCCCGTGAGGCATTGTGACCTATGGAACCCCTCAAAATGTGGATGGATGCCCAATATTTTGAATTTAGAGATGTACTCCTATTGTTTGCCACATATGGTTTAGGGGATACTTTTTATCAATGAATTTAGTTATTCACCTCGTATTTGTAATTTAGACATCAGATATAATTCCAACATACTTCCCTTAGCACATGCTTTGTTTTATTTAATTTCTATTTTCGCTAAATTGGTATTGCTTTCAGACTGAAATGCATTATGGTTGTTCTTATTTCAGGCGTGGGTTGATATGTATTCAACTAGACGATATGGGAGACAAGTTCCATTGGTACAAGAGGGATGGAATGTCTTGTATCATACTATTTACAATTGCACGGATGGAGCCTATGTAAGTAGTTGGTTGTTACTTATAACCCGGTGCTAGTAATTTCTTCCACTCCTGCAATATAAGACCATTTATTTTATGTAATTATATATTCAACTTCTGCGATTGTTCATTTACTGTCTTGCTTTTATTAATACACTTCCATTCTTCCTTTTATGATGTGTTGTATTTATGTATGTTAAGCATACTAAACTATTTGTATATTTCGTTTCTCCTTACTCAACAACGTAAAAGGACTAATCCCATGGCATCGGCTTATTTCTCAATCTGCTGTTCTCCTTTAATCTGACAAATCACTTCTCTAAACAACTGACAACCTCAGCTGCATATTGTATGTTCCATTTCAACTGCACATGCATAAATTAGAAGATCATGTTTCATTTTTACCAGATATTTTTGGTGTATTGGAACAGGACAAAAATAGAGATGTTATTGTAGCATTCCCAGATGTCGACCCTTCCTTACTTTCCATACAGCATGAACACTCTCATTCCTATGCCAAGCCAAACTCAAGAAGAATTATCAAGGAAATAACCAATTCATTTGATCGACCTCACTTATGGTATTCAACATCTGAAGTAATTTATGCATTGGAGCTTTTTATATCTAGTGGAGATGAACTTTCAAAAAGTAGTACTTATAGGTGAGAGAAGTCGGTTAAATAAGAATTCTCACTCCTTTTTAAGTAGCTCGGTGTTGTCTTATTGTATGCTAAGGTTCAATATAGATTCATGCTACTTCTTCTTTACACAGGTATGACCTAGTTGATCTCACCAGACAAGTTTTAGCAAAATATGCAAATCAGCTGTTCTATAAGGTCATCGAAGCATACCAGTCACATGATATCCATGGAGTGACTCTACTCAGCCAAAGATTTCTGGACCTAGTGGAAGATTTGGACACATTGTTGGCTTGCCATGATGGGTTTCTTCTAGGGCCCTGGTTAGATAGTGCAATACGACTAGCTCAAAATGAAGAACAGAAGAGACAGGTTTGATTTAATTCTATTGGAATATAATTGAAAATCCATCTTATCCTATATATACTTGTATTGATTTACAGTTGTAAACATTTTCAGTTTGAGTGGAATGCTAGAACACAAATCACCATGTGGTTTGACAACACAGATGAGGAAGCCAGTCTGCTTCGTGACTATGGTATTGAACAACAATTAACAGAAAAAGAAAAAGAAAAGCAAAGCAGTGTGATATTTGGATGTACTAATTAATTGCATGGTTTTTACTATTTTTCACAGGAAACAAGTACTGGAGTGGGTTTCTGCATGATTATTATGGTCCCAGAGCTGCAATTTATTTTAAATATTTAAGAGAAAGCTTAGAGAAAGAGGAGCATTTCAAGCTAAAGGAGTGGAGAAGAGAGTGGATAAAACTTACCAATGATTGGCAAAGCCGTAGAAATATATTTCCAGTTGTAAGTAGAGGAGACGCTTTAAACACTTCTCGGTGGCTCTTCAACAAATACCTCAACCTTAGCAATCCTGAGACACTGGAGAGCTGGATTTAATACTAATCAGTGAAATTTTAATGAACTGTTCTGTTAAATTAAATGTATACGAAACCAAAACCATGTTGTTAAGGTGGAAAAGGAAATAATGGGTTCTTTGTGCAAAATATGTATAATAAACTTGTGGAGACAACTTTTTTCTTATTGATAAAAGAATAACTGAATAAGGATGGTCCTCGTCTGAACAAAATCAAAACCTAGAGACCATGGTTCTGGTGTGAACAAAACAGTTGGGGAATCGCACTAATGGCCACATGAAATTTGGACCTGGAATTGCTTTCGGTAGAATTATTCACTAGAAAAAGTATGGTCCTGTTATTGACTTTTCCTTTTCTCTTTTCCTAACAGCTATGTATCTTTTTTTTGGGGTTACCTATAATATATCGAAACCACCCAGATGGGACGTAGAGTCTTCGAAGAATAAGCGGAAAGCCGCCAAAGAACAAAAACGAGCCTACCAATTCTAGACTTGAATTATAACGTAAGTGCAAACGTGTGTGTTTCATTATCTCTGTTGGTCCAAGTCCAAGTTTTTCATAAAAGTAAAAAAAGATTATCTTAGTCAAATAAACGTGTTCTAGAAGGTTCCCAAATGAGAAAACGAGTTATCTTGCTGTAGATACCTTCATCAAGTGTCAAACTCCACGTCATAAGATACCTTAACCCATGACATTAAGATATTGGTGAATTGCTTAACTTGCTTTACCTTCTACTTTTAAAATATTCCTTCCTCTAGTCCTATAAAATGCAATGAACCAGTTCTCAGTTCTTCATCCTAAAAAACCAATATCATTCTCCCAGTGCTCTAAGTCCTCATCTGTTTCCCATATTTTTTCAGCCTCCTCTCCCTTTAGAAAACTATTTGAATTGAAGAAATGGAATCTCATGGAACATCATGGGCTGACCAATGGGGCGAAGGTCCTGACCCTATAAATGGTTCCAACCAATCCAAAAAGAAGAGCAACAACGTCCTAGGCAAGACCAAGACAGTAGCATCCACTGGTGTCAAGAAGTTGAAGGAGGGTACCTCTGTTGGCCTCCAATGGATCAAAACCAAGTATAACAAAACCACCAACAAACATTAAAAATTACTTGTTTCTATTTAATTCCTTGTACATGTTAAGTAATATTTAATCCTTTGTTTTCAATTCATTCATTCTTGATGTGAGATGATATAGTCCTGTTCTCTGTAGGAGATATGCTTGTATCTTTCGTTCTGTTTTTTTACGATTTTTGTATTGTATACTTACATGAAGCTTGATTTTTTATATACTGTAGCTGTTTTTCCTCATGGAGTTGATGTTCTTATTTATCTATAGACCAAAATTCTTACCACTTCGTTCATAAAGAGTTATAATTTTACTCTAAGTAATCGAGGACTCCGTTAAAACATCAATCTTTGTTTTTAATCTTCATGTGATAAAATGATTTCTCATTTGTAAGAGTTGAAATTTAAAGAGTCAATATTAAACGAACCGATCATCATCCACAAAACTCAGAAGTTATTGATTGATTTCTTAATTCATAACGAAAAAGAATGGTGTCGACAAAGTCTAATTTAATTGGCAGAAACTCATATTGTTAACTTAAATGTCATTATTAGGATACGAATCTTAATACTCATTACTGTGTATGAATTTTTAGTGGTTGTTGTTAAATATAGAGTGTAATTCACGTGCGTGTAACCGATTATTGTAGAACTGCAATTGGTTACATCCCTTTCAAGAAAACAATCAGAATGTTGTTACAACACGTTATAATATATAGGTAACCGATTACAACAAAAACATATAGGTTTAATAACTAGTTACACTTTGTCTCTAACCAGTTACAACTTTGTTTGTAACTAGTTACGACTGTAGAATTTTTTGTTTCTTAAGTTGTTATTTGTATCCGATTCAATGTAATTGTGTACAAATATTCTCTGGGTATTTCGTTAATAAAGACTCTCTCTCTCTCTCTCTCTCTCTCTCTCTCTTTCTCCACATTAGAAGTCATGAATCTTGTGGTTCCTTGTTCTAATGTATGACATCAAGAGTTTGGTTTGATCCATCAAATACTTATTATGCAAAAATGTTTTCAATTTCCAATGATTGTATCCCTATAAATCTCTCAATTCTCGATGCGAAGAATTACGACAAACGGTGTAAACAAACGAATGTGTTGTTTGATTATCAAGATATTTTGGAAGTGATAAAGAACAATGTGACTCCACTTGTAGAAGGTACAACAATTGCACAAAGGATTTCGCACAAGAAAGAGAAGACGAAAGATTACAAGATATTGTATCTCATTCGTCAATATGTTAATGCAAACAACTTTGAGAAGGTTGGTGATTGTACATCCTCAAAGGAAACTTGAGAAATTGAAATTCTGTTCTAGCGCAGGGACGTTGGACACGATGTATACTAGAAAAAATAGTTTGCAAGACAGATAACAAGTAACAATTAAAACAAGAAAGAACATAAAAGATTGTTAACCCAACTCGGTGCAACGTCACATACGCTTAGGTGGCTTTCGACCTAAGAAAGGAAATCCACTTTCAGTAGTATTAGTACAAATAATCTTAAATGATCAAACCTTGTTCAATGCCTCAACCTAATACTACCCATAAATTTCTATTTGGGACTCCTTATAGAACTATTTCACTCTCAACAGTCAGAAGAACAAATGGGCTTACTCTGAACTCTCCTAATTCAAGGCCACTTTCCTAATACTACCTGTGAAGCTTCGTGCAGGCTCCCTCTGAATAAGAGACCCATCTCACTTTCACTCAAACACTCTCCTTGTGTTTGGACAATTACAATAATAAGATGGATGGTATAACAACCTTACAACTCAAAATCTATTCAAATAATTCATATTTGAAGCACGTGAATTGAGTGTACAAAGTACAAATAAAAACAAATACTCAACTAAAACACAATTCTCCTAATGAGTAGATATTTTCTCTTGTGGTCTAGGTCATTACAAAAGAAATGAACTCCTTATATAGCCACACAAGTCTAGCTTCAAAAGCCCATAAATCTGAATCTTTATTAGACTTCTAAAAAACACATGAGATCAATCTTTAATAATGATGACTTCCAATCCTGATTGATTTCCTCCTTAAATAAATCTGAATCTCTTAATTATTCTTGTTGTATTTGATTCAAATCTCATCCTCCAAAAATTCATATAATCAATCAAATCTTTATAAGACAGATTGAGATCTTTGTAACTAGTCTGAGACAGTTGTCTCACATATCGTAGAACATTTGGTTTGTCATATGTCCACGTAACACAATTTTGAATCTTGAACAAATCAAATAAAATCTTTACGTGATATACATCACAATTCCAATTCTCAAATAAAGGATTCAAAATAAATCTCTAGCTAAAAATTGGATCACACTTCAAATCATCTTCAATAAAGATTAGAGTTTTTCTCCGTAAGTGCAACTCTAAATCTTATAATTAAAAACAAATTCAATAAAATATCTTCATGGAATATAAATCTTCAATCAATATCTCTGCATACCAATCTTTGAATAAACTGAATTTGAAAAAAAAAATATTCCTTCAAAGTATATTCAAATAAATCTTTTCTTCAATGCAAATCTAATTAAATCAAATATTCTTATTTAAACCAAATCCAAATCCTTTTAATTAAATCATATTTAATTAAATATTCTTCAAACTTATGGATTAATAAAATATTCTTACAAACTGATTTGTATTAACAAGATTCTTCCCAACGTAATCTTCTAATCGTACCAGAATCAATGTAGGATCATATGATGCACTTTGTGCAAAATGCGCGCCCAAATGTCACACAATATATTCCAAACATTTTACCCAACAAGTTTCTTAAAATTTGAACAAACTCGAACACTAAACAAACTTGAACCACCTCATTGCAATAACCTAGTGGACCGAACCACATTTATGATTTGGTTCAGTTTGCAATAACAATTTCAATAAAAATTCAATTAACTGCTAAAATGATTACAATTCAATTGAAAACTAGTTTAAACTAGTTTATATTTATAAACTGATTTATAATCAGTTCACAATTTTAAGCCACTTAAATTTTGAACTCTTTTAAAATCAAATTTTTTAACTTCATAAAAATTTAAAATTTTTAATATTAAAAAATATTCTTTGTAATATTTATTTTTAATTTTTTTATATTTTGTATTTTCGAAAAAAAATACTTTTTCGTTTTTCGGAAAAAATTAGATTTTTTCATATTTTTGAAAAAAAAATTGTTTTTCACATTTCCAAAAAAAAAATCGATTTTCTGTATTTTCGAAAAAATATTGAATTTTCGTGTTTCAAAAAAACCATTTTTTTTGTATTTCTAAAAAAACTCGAATTTTTGTATTTCTGAAAAAAAAACTCGACTTTTTCATATTTTCGAAAAAACTCGACTTTTTCATATTTGCGAAAAAACTCGACTTTTTCATATTTCTGGAAAACTCGACTTTTTCATATTTTCGAAAAAAGTCGTGTATCTAACTGTATAAAGGCAGGCGCAGATATATGAATAGGAGATGTTGTGCGAGTATCTACAGGACCCAAATTATCTATGGGTTCTCAAAGCACGTTGAAAATTCGACCTAGGTTGCTCTACCGACTAGAACACTTAGAGCAGCTCCTGTGTCAATCACTTCCATTCCTCTCTTTAGACCATCTGTAGCACTCATAGCTACAACTCTAGCTCGATTATTTTTATTTTTTTTCATATTTTCGAAAAAAACTTGACTTTTTCATATTTCTGAGAAAACTTGACTTTTTCATATTTTCGAAAAAAAAACTCGACTTTTTCATAATTCTGGAAAAACTCGACATTTTCATATTTATGAAAAATCTCAACTTTTTCATATTTTCAAAAAATCTCGACTTTTTCATATTTTCGAAAAAACTCGACTTTTTCATATTTTCAAAAAAACTCGACTTTTTCATATTTTCGAAAAAACTCGACTTTTTCATGTTTCTAAAAAAACTCGAATTTTTCATATTTCCAAAAAAAACTCGATTTTTTCATATTTAAAAAAAACTCAACTAGTTCATATTTCCGAAAAACTCGACTTTTTCATATTTCCGAAAAAACTCAACTTTTTCATATTTTAAAAAAACTCGACTTTTTCATATTTCTGAAAAAAAATCGGTTTTTTTCATATTTCCGAAAAAAATAATTAGATTATATAATTTAACCAGTTTGTAAAAGAAAATTGGTTTTGAACCGGTTTTAAAATGAATTTGAATTGTTTTAATTAAATGGTTCAGTTCATTAACCATTTAAATGATTCAATTTTTTTTATAGTGCAATGCAGTTCAATTCAAGTATACAATTCAGTTAACCGTATTTTTGAACACCCCTAATGCACATATATTGGAACATCTTGTCCCACATGATGCCTCTTCACAATTTACATCTTGTGTTGCCCATGTTGTTTTACCAAATGCAGCCAATAAAAAGGAACAATAGTCTTCCCCTTTGAAATTTTTTGGCTAAAACAACTTACAACCATTCTATAAGATGTGCCGGAGTAAATAAAAAACAATTCTCATTCAAGTAGGACACCACAAAAGAACATACAAAGTAGTAGCAGTAGCACACATATCAAAGATCGTGCAAGGTGGTTGCTACAATCAATACTCCCCGTTTTTGCCATAATTTGGCAAAGGTATGGATAGAAAACCAGAGCATCAAGCATTTGCTAAGATAAGAAATGAATACCAACTCTGGAAGAACACAAGCCATTGTCATAGTGCAAAAACACGTCAAGGTAACAGTACAGAAGGTTAAAGATACATTACAAAACTAGTAACCCCAACAAAAAAAATTCCAAAACACAGATATCACATATTAAAAAAGTGTCCTCCCCCCCCCCCCCCCCCCCTATTTTCCTCAAAAGAGACAAGGACATACGACCACATCTTTCCTAACAAATAACTTGCAACTAAAATTCAACAACTCGTGAGGAATACCATCATTCTTAACCACAAATTCCTTTATCAACTTAGGATAACAAGCTCTAACATTCAACATTGTCTTCAACAACTGAGCATCACTAAGAAGCTTCATAGCAAAAGAATC